TCTCTCTCTCCCTTTTTTCTATTTTTATTGTTATTTTTTTGTGATTTTATAGCTATCGCTATATTACAAATTTCAATCGCTTCAATTCAATGGCAATTTAATTGCAACTTTTTATTATTCAGTTTCAATAGTATAAAAAGAAATAATGATAATAGACGGAGCTGCGTTTAAATCTTAGGCTTCCCAACAAAGACTCCTTTTCTATTCCACGCGACGGTCAACGAGAAAATTCCGACACGTGATATTTGTTCGCGAGATAGCCGGTACTCCGCGCGGGTACTCCGTTATCGCGACTCTCGTAGAAGTGCCGTAAACAGCCCGAGATTTTTTCCATTGCAAATTTCGTATTGTTGTTAACCCGACGTGACATTATGTCTTGCACCAGACCCGAGAGTCTTAACGGCGAGAAGATCGCAGCCTCATCTAGGTCGGGCGACAAAAAAAGCCTCCGTCCGAGGATGATCGTAAATCTTTTCAGATTTCGCGCGAGTTTCTCTGCCTTTCCCTTCGGCGTTTACCTTCGAAATCTGCTCAGCGGATTTAAATCCGTTTCACGCGACGCAAGAGAACGGTTTCTACGAACCGAGCACGTGTCGCGAGTTGTCGAATAGATTTTAATCTGCGGAAGAACCTTTTCCTCGAAGGAAGTTAGCGCGATTCTCGGTTTCCTTAATTCCCTTCCCTTTAATTCTCCCCCTCTTTCTCTCTCTCTCTCGCTCGTTCGCTCGCTCTCTTCTTTTCGCACGCATGATTATTTTGACGTCGATCAATCAGATGATTTTCCTCGATTCACGAATCGATCGGTACACGCGCACCACCGCGAAAGTGACAGGCGCACGCGATCGCTTCTTTTTTTCTTTTTTTTTTACATGTCGATGTCGCAAGCAAGAATCACCGGTTCTGTCTCTCTCCCTCTTTCTCTCTTTTTCCACTTGACACGCGTACGTACGAAAACCGCTACCTCCCACTAGCAGTGACCGTGCTCGACTGCACTCGTTGTGACTCTTTCGCAAACCCGAGGCACAACGAGGCAACACCTGTTTCCAAGGAACCGTCGCGGATCGCGCCGACTCATCTTCGTAATGCGCGCAAAACGGAGACGTCTTTCTTGCCTGATAATTACTTGGGCAGATGTTTCATAGCTCCGCACAGATGCTTTTATATCAAGTTAATCTTGTTATGTCAGTCTTGAGTACACAAATGTATCTCTATCGCTCGTGATATTTCTATCGTCTTAAACGGCCAAATTGTGTCAATGAGTCTTGTAAATAAGAGAGAATGAGAAAAAAGATATTACTCGCTTCACAGAAAAGAAGAACTGTATGCCGAATATAATAGAATATTTTTAGTTGATTTTTCTATTTATTTACCATTTAATATTACTGAAAATAAGCTACGCTAAAATTTATTTCCAAAGTACATATAACAAGCTATTAATTACTTTCAATAGCTTTAAGTAATAAGCTTGATTGAAGCATAAATGGATCAAACAGAAATCGATCTGGTTTATATTGCAATTTTTCAAAAAATTAAATACAAAATATAAAATACATATATAACATAGAATTTTTATGAATCTGTTTTTAAATTCTTTTAGTTCACAGAATATAGTTTGGCCGCTTTAAATTTAAAAGTGCATAACAATATTCTCTTATAAATAAATTTTGTAAAGTGTATATAATAAAATTGTTTTTGATATTATCCCTGTGAATGTTAATTGTGTCAAAACATCATGTTTCTCGATGTGATAATGTACTTTTAATTAAAACGCTCGTAACTATTATGTTTTTTTCCCAGTTATGTACTTAATTATGATTGTAATTACACTATTGCGTCATTTGACAACACGATGTTCTTATTCAGCGTGCATGCTTGACAGGTAACAATTTCGTTAGTTCTTGAGATAAGAATCGAACGGTGAGAAGGTAGAGAACGCGCTTGCCTACTCGCAATATACACGCGGTAAAAAAGACGTCTACCTTTACTAAGGCAGCTTCGACGGTATCGTCGATGACTACACCCGGATGATACGTAGTTTCTATCTAAATTGTAGTTTTTGCACGCATCATAATTCGAATGACGTCTGACAGCTCGATTTACGTCTGACACGTGTGAAAATTGAATATAAATTTGAAGAATAAATAACAATCTGCGATACAATGTTACATTGAGCATCGATAAAAAAACCAACTCTGATAATTGAAACAGTCGTGATGCGTGCATCCAAGTGCAATATATCCAGATCTCGCGATATCCAGACGGAAACCGTTTTACGGAATTTTATTAAAACATAATTCGAGATATTTCGAGATATATCACAGGATTGATAAGCGAATATAAACGCGATCATTGTCGCCGGTGATATAGAGGAGGATCGCTTACCGCTTTCCGCTTGTCCTCCGCGCTCAAGGCACTATGGCTCCTGTGCCTAATGAGATCCATAACTTTGCTCACAGGATTCCTGCTGCTCTCGGATCCAGCTCTAGGCCGTCCGCTTCCCTGCTCCTTATTCTCCTTTTGTTCCTTTTGACTTTCTTTATGATGCTCCTTCTCCGTACGTACATCCACCGACGAGCTGCCGTGCGATCCTCTATGCAAGGAATGCTGAACAATCGTACAATAAAGAAATTAGTAATATTATATGTATACTTAATAAAAATATATACATGACTATATGATTAACATATACAAATCTTTCCAAACTAGTTTCGATATAAATTTCGATACGAAATTATTTGAGGAAAGCTTATAAAATTTAATATATCATAATCATCTCCATTACTACATCACAATGCAATATTTTCTTCTTATTTTTTTATGTACCTGAACGACATTTTTCATATTAGCTATAATACTGGGCTTCCTCTTGCTGGCGTCCGACTTGCTCCTCGGTCTGAAGGCATCAAAGAGCGCCGGTTTTCTCGTAGGACTGGCGGTGTCGTCTGTACCACCGCCGCTCCTTCGACGTTCCGCGCTATTACTACGACTATTACTACGACTGGTGGAACCAGATCGAGTACCGGAAGTCTTTCGACCGCCCTTGCCGGAACTCGATGAGCTCGACGGTTCGGCCGGTTGCGGAAGAGGCGTCGATTTTCCAGAGCTAGGTGCGCTTCCGTAAGACGACTTTTTGATCGGCTTCGAATGCGACCCCCACGTATCTGCAAGTCAAATTATTTCAACGTACGTAAATAGATAATTTGATTACCCAGCCAGTCTATTTATGCAAAATATATCTGCTACGTTCATTCATTGTAATAATTATTGCTTACGCATAATGCTATCGAAAAGAATCTGTCTGTTTTTTGTTAACAGATAAACGGCCAATAATTACACGGATATGGATCTCTTCGTAAAACATTGAAATGAATCGTTCGCGTGCCCCGGAAGAAAGGAAAATTTAATGACCGCATACACGATTGCCAATTACCCCAACTCACCTGCTCGTGGCCTGTGACCTTGGGAAACATGGCCGGAATTATCCGTGTCCTCGGTCACGATCGTTGGTAGTGGTTGCGACCCAAGCTCCTGAAACGAAGAAAGTGCTTTCGTTTAAAGACAATCGATCATATCGTCCGCACGGAATCCTCCGAAAAAAAAGACATGTAAGAATTCCTTGCGAATGACTTGTGAGAATTATTAATTATAAATCGAAGCGAAGACGGCGGTGATTAGATATTGCTGTTGATCGCACGATAGATGATAGCGCGGTTGTATTTACGTATTTACATCCTCGTATTTAGCTCCTCGCATCTCCCCGACAAATGCAACACAAGATACTGCGTGTGGTGGAAATTTCGCATTGATTTATCTAAGCATTAAGTTATTAAAAAAAGAGAAAGATAAATGAGATAAGCATATTCCATTACATAATAATAATATCTTTGGAATTCTTCCAAAGGGAAATTCACTCTGGAAAATGTCCAACATACAGCGCGTACGATCGTTTCACTTTATATTCGTGATTTCTAAAGTGTTCAACATTTGCAAGTCGGATCTATTTTTATATTGTTATTTGGTCAACTATACAATAGATTGTGAATCATACTTTGTACAGGTGGAGTGTGTCAGTCAATGTCGCAATCATCCAATATTTAATTAGGAAAAAAATTAAAGCTTCGGTAAAAAATCGTAATTCCCGATTTTTATTCGTAGCTTCGAAATTTTTGTCCGTTACGAAGAGGAAAAAAAATGCTCGAAGCAAGAATTTCCAGAAATTCTTTAGAAACAATTTCGGAAATTATCGTCCCGGAAATTATTTGACCCGCGCGACAGTGGCATTTCGCAAAAGTACGTTCGTTAACGACAGTGAGGCGTAATGATGGATCGCGAAATATAATTGCGAAAAAACAAATTGCTTAGCGGATAAAAGGAATATTGATAGGCGCCCCACGTTCGTTATGCGCGTTCATGCGAATTCCCGGGGAGCACAATGGGAGACGGGATCGAAGAAGGGCGCGACAGGATGGCGACCTTCGAGAGGTTCTCATCTCCAGCCTCCTCTTCACTCCGTCCTTTGCTGACGTGGATGTATCGTGCGAGAGAAACGAAACGTTAATTTTGCAAGGGAATGCCTCTCAAATACCTTATAAGTCCCGTGGTACTCCGGGCAACGATCCAGATACGGTACCAGGGAGTACTTCCGCACCCTCCCGAGGGATGCCGACATCCTCTGTCAGGGTCGTCAAGTCGACAGCGGCACGCTTCTCAGGTATTCATCCCGCGAATATCGCGCGTCCATCGAGATTCTGACGCTGAATGACAAGCATCATCTCGGATGGTATTCGGTATCTCGCGGCCACTATCTTTTCGCACCTTGTTATCGCGATAACGATTCTCCTTCGAGCGACGGTCATCATACGCTTTTCGTAAACGTCGTCTCTTTATCGCGCCACAGTACTACTGGTCGCGATAATCTTGCCCAATGTTCCCCGAACATATGCGTTCGCTATTGAGTCTTTATCGAAATTCGTCGAATAAACAATCACGTTCGCAGGATAAAAATTTTTCTCGAGCGTCTATCCTCAACTCAATCCGGCTATTAAATGACAATGCCAACAATTAAATATAAAAAAAAGATATAACAATAACTGAATTAATCTTGCGAATAAAAAAATCGATGCGATTTGAGCTGATTTTAGTCATGGAAAATTTGCGAGAGGTGCCATCAAAAAATTTCGATGCTGACTGACAACACCTGTTCGAAAATTCCGAATTGCCCTCGTTTCTGTCTCTTTATTGGCGATGACACACACCGATATTCCCAACAATTGTCATAACGACGTTATCAAGTTCCGTACATCACTCGGCGTGGCGACCCATTTTTATCGAATTTTATCGCGATACGGCCAGCTTGTTTTCTTAACGTGAAAAGCTCATCGTTAGTTTTGCCGCCTACAGCCGCACCGTTAAAGACGGAAGTACAACATCAATTATCAGCAGCGAAAATATTAGCACAACGTGCAAACCATCTCCGTTACGAAATTATCTCCGTAACGATCTTCTCTCTTGGTATCTTTCCATCTCAACAAAATCGAACTTTTTCTAAAGCTAGCATGTAATGAAATTGGAGTGATATACATATTTATGATAATTGATTAATAAATTCGTCTGTTTTGTATCATCGACAATTGTGATCGCACAAAAAGAAGAATCATTCCCTTTATTAATCGTTAATCAAGTATGTTTAACTCGTGATAGTTTAACAATAATTTAACTTGAAAGCACTTTAGATAACGATCGCGCTGTGATAAGTTTATAAATAAAATCACGTATAATCCGTGTAGTTTATAGCTAATTTACTTAAAAACACGATATAAATATTTATCGAGTTTACATAACTTCACAAAAGCGACGTATTATTTGAAAGCAGTGCCACTCGAAGAAACCAATTAAAATAACAATTTTCTAGATATGAAAAGTTTTGTCAATTATCATACTTCAATTAATTTCTCTCATATTGCACAATCCGAGGTAATTTATTTTTATATCAGTTCAGATAAGATTATAAAATTCTCTCTCTCCCTCTCTC